ATGTGTATGAGTGTGTTCATTTTGCTGCACATTGGGAGGGATTAAGTGGTTTGCCTGAGGTGTATGAACAACTTGCACCACAACCGTGTGTGGGAGAAACTTTACATTCTAGCCTCCCACGAGACAGTGAACTGTTTGTGCCTGAAGAGGGGAGCAGCGAGAAGGAGAGCGAGGACGCGCCAAAAACATCTCCTCCGACGCCTGGGAAACATGGTTTGGAACAGACTGGGGAGGAAAAAGTGATGGTGACTGTTCCTGACAAAAATCCACCTTGTCCTTGCTGTGGTACCCGGGTAAACTCTGTGTTGAATCTGATTGAACATCTGAAAGTGTCACACGGGAAAAGGGGGGTTTGTTTTCGGTGTGCAAAATGTGGAAAGGAAAATAGTAACTATCACAGTGTTGTTTGTCATTTTCCAAAATGCAGGGGTCCAGAGACGGAGAAAGCCCCAGCTGGGGAGTGGATTTGTGAGGTATGCAACAGAGATTTTACAACCAAAATTGGCCTGGGACAACACAAGAGATTGGCACACCCAGCAGTGAGAAATCAGGAAAGGATCGTTGCTTCCCAACCGAAAGAAACATCAAATAGAGGTGCTCACAAAAGGTGCTGGACAAAGGAGGAGGAAGAATTACTAATAAGACTGGAGGCTCAGTTCGAGGGAAACAAAAATATTAATAAGCTTATTGCAGAACACATAACCACCAAAACAGCTAAGCAGATCAGTGACAAAAGGCGATTGCTGTCCAGAAAGCCAGCAGAGGAGCCACGTGAGGAGCCTGGAACGTGTCATCACACCAGGAGAGCAGCTGCGAGCCTGAGAACGGAGCCTGAGATGAGTCATCACGCCCAGGCAGAGCACAGAGATAATGGACCTGGGAGACGCCCTCTGCCAGGCAGGGCAGCTGCCGGAGGGAGAACAATGGACGAGATAAGACGCCACCCTGATAAGGGCAACGGACAGCAGAGACCCACCAAGCAAAAATCAGAAGAACAGCTGCAGGCTTACTATAAAAAGACACTAGAGGAACGACTTTCAGCTGGGGCACTTAACACCTTCCCCCGAGCATTCAAGCAGGTAATGGAAGGCCGGGATATAAAGCTAGTAATCAATCACACAGCGCAGGACTGCTTCGGATGCCTGGAATCCATAAGCCAAATAAGAACGGCAACCCGAGATAAAAAGGACACGGTGACCCGGGAGAAACACCCAAAGAAACCTTTTCAGAAGTGGATGAAGGACAGAGCAATCAAAAAAGGTAATTATCTTCGGTTCCAGCGTTTATTTTATCTTGATAGAGGGAAACTGGCTAAAATCATTTTAGATGATATTGAATGCTTGTCTTGTGACATACCACTCAGTGAAATTTATTCGGTTTTTAAAACAAGATGGGAAACAACTGGTAGCTTTAAAAGCCTTGGGGACTTTAAAACTTACGGGAAGGCTGACAACACTGCCTTCAGAGAATTAATTACGGCTAAAGAAATTGAGAAAAATGTGCAGGAAATGAGCAAAGGCTCGGCTCCCGGTCCAGACGGGATTACTCTTGGGGACGTCGTAAAGATGGATCCCGAGTTTTCCCGGACCATGGAGATTTTCAATTTATGGTTAACAACTGGTAAAATCCCGGACATGGTGAGGGGGTGCAGAACCGTTTTGATTCCAAAATCATCAAAGCCGGATCGTTTGAAAGACATTAATAACTGGAGACCTATCACGATCGGTTCCATCTTGCTGAGACTGTTCTCCAGGATTGTAACAGCTAGGCTGAGCAAAGCGTGCCCCCTGAACCCAAGGCAAAGAGGCTTTATCAGAGCGGCGGGATGCTCTGAAAACTTAAAACTCCTGCAAACTATAATTTGGTCGGCCAAAAGAGAACACAGACCACTGGGTGTTGTATTCGTGGACATCGCCAAGGCTTTTGACACCGTAAGCCACCAGCACATCATTCATGCTTTGCAGCAAAGAGAGGTGGATCCCCACATCGTCGGTCTGGTGAGCAATATGTACGAGAACATCAGTACTTATATCACCACAAAAAGGAACACACACACAGACAAAATCCAGATCCGGGTTGGAGTAAAGCAGGGTGACCCGATGTCGCCCCTTTTATTTAACCTGGCAATGGACCCTCTATTATGTAAGCTGGAAGAGAGCGGCAAAGGATACCACCGAGGACAGAGCAAGATCACAGCGATGGCATTTGCAGACGATCTGGTTTTGCTGAGCGACTCCTGGGAAAATATGAATACAAATATTAGCATACTAGAGACCTTCTGCAACCTGACCGGTCTCCAAACACAGGGGCAAAAGTGCCACGGCTTTTACATCAAGCCGACAAAGGACTCTTACACCATCAATGACTGCGCTGCCTGGACTATCAACGGCACACCCCTGAACATGATCGACCCCGGCGAATCTGAGAAATACCTCGGCCTGCAGTTTGACCCGTGGATTGGTATAGCAAGGTCCAGTCTCTCCACAAAATTAGATTTTTG